CACCCCAGATAAGGGCTCTGCTTCAGCTCCAGGGTGTCCCATGGTTGAGTTGGAAGCTAGGGGAGTCCCAGTTCATGCTGAAGAACTTGATTTGTTGGACCTGTATGCAAAAAGAACTGGATGCAAAGCCTTTCAGGAGACCCAATCCATCCTTGTGCAATCATCCTACGATATTCACAATCATCACATGTATGTTATAGATAGCCACAATTTTGATTTCTCAATCATACGTCAAAAAAGCTGGGAAAGAATTGGGGATGTAGCTCAGAGGTATAAGGACCTGAGTTCAATCCTCAGCACTCATCTTAGTGCTGGGAGGTAGAGACAGGTAGGTCCCTGGGCTTTCCAGCTAGCCAGCCTAACTTAGTAGGCAAGTTGCAGGCAGGGGAAAGGCTCTTTCACACACACAAATACACACACACACACACACAAACACACACACGAGAGATGGATATCCATAGTTGTTTTCTAGTCTTTTCATCTATGCACACACATGAACACACACTTACACAAGAAAAATCCAGTAAAAAGGGAAATAAGGCAAGATACATTGAATGCAGAACAAATAATGGTTAATAAGGGGAACTTTTACTAGAGAGATTAGGGGACGCGGGAAGGCGGGGAGCCACATCGTGGCCAGAGATAGGAAGAGGGAATATTCTGCTTGTAGAATATTCTGTGAAACTTAAGTCACAATTTTTAGATGAAATTGAGAGGAAAACAGGTATACATCAAATTCAAAGTACAATAAAGTATCACAACACACCTATGAAATGGAGAAAGAGAGAGGGGAGAGGAGGTGACAGGGAACACCAAATGCTGTCAAGGAAGGAATATTTCAGAAGTTCGTCAATTTCAGTTCTGAAAATTTCTGTAGTACAGGTCAAAACACACCCCTGCTATTTCTGAGTAGTTAAAAAATGTAATGTAAGCTGACCTGGTGTTGCCTATCTACCATCCAAGCACTCAGGAGGCCAAGGTGGGAGGGTCATGAGTTTTAAGCCAGCCTGGGCTACATAGTGAAGCCCTGTCTCAAAAAACAAAAGAAAAATATTAGTGTTTTATCGTGCAGGAGCCAGCGGCATTTTGTATTTCAATGCTGGAAGCAGTAGGAAAACAATGAATGGGCGGGGTTGGGATGTAGCTCAGCTGACAGAGTGCTTGCCTAGCACATTATTGGGTCCATGCGCAGCACTGCAAAAACTGGGTGTGGTGGTGCAGGTCTGAAATCACAGTTTTGGGAGGTGGAGGCTGGGGATAAGGAGTTCAAGGTCATCCTTGGCTGCTTAGGAAGATCAAGGCAATACTGAGCTACGCGAAACCCTGTCCCCCGTAATTAAAAATAGAAGAAGGGAAGGAGGGGAAGAGGAGAAGGAAGAGGAAGAGATGAGAAAGAAGAGTTGACGAGGAGGAGAAAGGTGGGGGAAGAGGAAGAGGAGGAAAAAGAGGAGGAGGATGAAGAGGAAAAAAGAGGAGGAGGGGGAGGAGAAAAAAGAAGGGGAGGAGGAAAGGGAAGAAGATCAGGAGGAGGAGGAAGAAAAGGATTATGAAGAGAAGGAGACATGACATTCAAATGTACGTCAGTGTTTAGGATTTGTTTTGTTTTGTTTATGAGAACTGTATATAAAAATTTGAAGACAGTATTTTTTTCCAGAAGAAAATAAAAGTAAGGAGCCATTCAGCCCTCACCACCAAATCATTTCAGTCAGCAAAGTAAGCCATAGCAATTGCTGTTCACAGTGACACTTCTAGAAAGTTCCATAAATTCCCTGATCTCTGTACCAGAAAGTAGGAAGTTGTAAAGACACTGAAGACAGTGTTCCAGCCATGTTAGATCGGTGGGTTTTTGTTTGGTTTGGATTTTGGTTTGGGCTTTGAGTTTTTGTTTGTGGTGCTTACAATCCAAGTCAGAAGTCTAAACTTTGCCCTTGACTCTTGTCCCTCAGTCTCCCACCCTGAGGCTGAATTCCAGTCCTACTAATATGACATCTAATGCCTTCCCAGGGAATTCTCTGTCTCTCTCCCTCTCTCTTCTCTCTCTCTCTTCTCTCTCTCTCTCTCTCTCTCTCTCTCTCTCTCTCTCTCTGTGTCTGTCTCTCTCTCTCTGCATTCATGTATGCGAATATGGATACACATATGCCACATGTGTAGGTTGGAGGACAACCTCGGGTGCCAGTCCTCTCCCACCTTGTTTAAATCAGGGTCTCTCATCCTCTGATGAATGCCTTAGGCTAGCTGGCCTGCAAGGTCCCAAGCATTCTTTTTTCTCCCCTTCCCATCACACCCCAGGAGTACAGAGATTACAGTTATATGATACCTACTTGACTTTATGTAGGTACGGAGGATTGAGCTCAAGTCCTCATGCTTGCACAGCAGGACCTTACCCCACTGAGTCATCTTTCCAGTCATTGTTTTCCTTCCTTACAGACCACAGCCCTTGACCTCTCCTGCTGGCAATCACCCTGACCTATCTACTCTCACCAGCTTGTCTCCTGCCTATCATGGTGAGCAACCTCAGCTACAGACAGTGCACTCAGCCCCTGTTCAATCTTCCAGTTTACCTGCTGCCCTGAAGATAAGGTTCACAGTCCTCCATCATAGGCACAATCCCACTGAGCCTCCTTCCCAATTCTGGCCCAATGGTATGGAGCTTTATAGATTTCTAGGAGCATTGCTTGTGAGTGACTTAGACACCCCTTCCCTTGTCAGCCACTCTCATTTCTACCCCAGCTTCTTTCACCCTTTCCAACTTTAGAAGAGACAGCAGCTCTAACCCCTAGGTCCCACCCCAGGTTAGGTCCTTGATGTCCTGTGAAATTTTCAGCTTCAGTCAGTGACAGATTGCTTAGAAAGGGCAGCTGAAGAGGGGCTCGCCCAGCTGTACCCTTAAGTATGGGCTCCTCAATCCAGCAATCATGTTTATTCAGGTATCGTTTCTTACTGAGTGTGATATCCCACAGGTGCTGAATACATTTGGGCAACTGAATTTTCTAGAACACTGCATCTTAAAAAGTGTAAGATCTGGATAAGGAGATAGTCGGTAAAATGCTTGCCTAGCAAGAACGAGGGCCTGAGTTTGATACCTAGAACACATGTTTAAAAAAAAAGAAAGAAAAAGCAGGCACATGGGTGAAGAGATGGCTCAGCACTTAAGAGTGTGGGCTGGAGTTCAGATTCCCAGCACCGACGTGATGGCTCAGAACTAGCTTCAGGGGATCCCACATCGCTATCTGGTCTCTGTGGGCACCTGCATACACATGAACATACACACACACAAACAGAAATAAACCGTTTTTAAATAGCCAGGCAAGATGACACCTGCTTGTAAGCCCAGCACTGGGGAGGTGGCTATGCAGATCTCTGGGGCTCACTGGCCAGCCAGTCTAGCCTAATTGGACAGCTCTGGACCAGTAAGAGACCTTGTCTCATAAAACAAGGTACACAGTGCCTGAGGAACAACATCTAAAGTTGACCTTTGACATCCTTAAACACTTGCTGTCATACGCATATGTACACACATGCATGCACACAAACACACACAAAAACAGATCCAGACACATATGTACACACATGCATGTACACAGACACACACAAAGCAGATCCAGAATATTATATTCTGAGGCATTCTGAATGAGCAACAGTGGTTGCTGTCACCCACTCACATGCCCTTCTCTATCATGCCATAAGTTCCCATCTACTGCACCCCAAACCCCTCCTCCTAAGACCCTCATCAGCTCCATTCAGACCAGTGCTATGTGAGCAGGACACCATTCCCATGCATGCGACTTCTAGAAAAGTCTATGATAGATGATGATTCCATAAAATGTTCTCGAATGGGAAATCAGAGCTCACCTGTGAGAAGCAAATCCACCCTTGACTTTAAAAGCTACAGATTTCTGATGATGTAAAAGTACCTCACCTGCGTAGCACTGAGAGAGAGGAAAAAGACAATTTAAAACATTTTTGAGGGCCCAGTGAGGTGACAGTAAGTAAAAGTGCTTGCCAGCACTCCTAATAACAGTTCAATCCCCAGATCCCACATGGTGGAAGGAGAAAAGCGGCTCCCAAAAGTTGTTCTCTGAGCTCCACACATGTGCCATGGCATGCGCACACACACACGCACACACACACACACACGCACACACACACACACACGCACACACACACACACTCCAAATTAAAATGTAATAAAAGTTTTTTGACAGCTATGTTCCATCTAAGTCAAACTAATACAAAGCTATGGCTGACAGGAAACGAACAACGTGTTCCCAGGTCAACACATCAGCTGTAACAGAAGCCTCCACAAAAGATTTTAAAGGATTTGCATTCAAAAACAAAATGTAGCTTTTGTTTCAGTGCTATGAAGTTTGTTTTTTGTTTTTGTTTTTTTTTTTTTTTGAGACAGGGTATCATGTAGCTCAAACTGGCCCCAAACTCTCTATGTAGCTTAAGATGATCTTGAACTCCTGATCTTCCTGCCTCCACTTCCCGGTGCTGGGATTGCAGGGGTGTGCTACCAGGCCTCATTCATGGTGGTTCTGGAGATGGAACCGAGGGCTTCCTGCATGCTAGGTGAGCACTCTAACTGAGCGGCAGCCCCAGCCCCTGTGGGACTTTTTCATACCTCTTCATTTGTATTGTCATTTCAGCACACAACTGGTATGCTGAATAAGACCCTCATTAAAGAAGGGGACATCAGTTTAATGAGCTTTGGCATTTATCCGAGGAAAAATAGTTAAAGAGTACTTAAAGGACTGCAGAGGCTTTCAACAAAGATCAACTATACTTTGAGGACACGGCATCTATGATCAGTGTCTGAAAATTCCACACTGAGGAATTCTCTAGAGCTGCGATCTAGACTGAGCTGTCCAGAAGGTGAGAGTCAGGTACAAAATGCATCAAGGGTTCAAGCCTCCATCTTCTACCATCTCATCTCTTCTTACTTCCCACCAGCAGAGAGACCAAGTTTCTGGGCAATTTCATTGATGGGGGAATTGTACTTTACTATTGATTCAAAGGTCTCCCATCACAGGGAACACGGCTTGGTCCAAATTGGCTCCTTCTTCAGTGCTCCCCAAGAAGTCTTCCTCCTTGAAAGTTTCTTTATTTCCCATTGCTAAGCTTTCTAAGTGGCTAAATCCCTGGAGCCAGCAGAAATGCTTCCCCAAAAAGCAAGCTGGGCTCCCATTTAAGTGCTGCAGCTAGCCTGAGAGCCCACTTGCTTCCCTTTGGCAACAATTCCTGAATTTGTACAATGTTTTGTGACTGTGAGGATCAGGCCATTCACATTTAGAACCACTGTTTGGAGCAGTTGCTTGTTAAGGAGAATAGAACTGGTTTGGAGGACTACCCCTTTGTCACTCCTGAGGTGACCCCGAAGAAGACCTTTCTCTTCCTTCCCGCTGCTTGTCTGAGTCCTGCCTCAGTCCAGACCCAGCTGGCTGTCCCAGAATCTCTCCAGCCAACATGGAAATCTTCCTCTGACCCACTTCAGGGCTGAGTTCATCCTTCAGCCTTAGTGTGGACCCTGGGCAGGTGGGCAGGAGCATCGCTTGGGAGCTCAGGAGACATGCAGAGTCTTGGTTCTCACCCCATACAGACTGAATTCAAACCTACAGTTTAATAAGGTCCCCAGATGGTTTAGGTATACTTTAAAGTTTGGGAAGTAGGACGGGGAGATGGCTCAGTTGATAAAGTGCCCATCTTGCAAGTATGAGAACATGAATTTTGATCCCCAGATCCCATAACAAGTCAGGTGTGGTCTCTACTGTCTGTAATACAAGAGCTGGGGAGACAGAGACAGGCAGATCCCTAGAGCTCCCTGACCAGCCACTCTGACCAAGAGGTCAAGATAAGGCAAAGTAGGAAAGAGAAGAAATATAGCCTCACAGAGGTGGAAGCCTGTGGGACAAGCTGGAGACTTGGGGTCTTTCTGTGACAGGAGAGATGAAAAGGAGCAGGAGCAGGAGAAGGCGGAGAGGCTGTGAAAAGCCACCTTCACGGGCCTGAAGCGTGGTGGAAAGTGAAAGGGGAGTAAGATTCACAGAACCGTTCCTGGCAGTCCTCTAAGAGGCAGAGAGGTCCCCAAGGCACCCACAGTTTCAACATCAAGGAAGTTAGTCACAGATTTCTGCTGAGAACTGAGGCGGGGTCACTGGGTTAGAAAAGGTTAAAGCTAAAGCCTGGACCTTGAGGAAGTGGAGCCCAAGGCAGTTAATGCTAATGGCAGAGGCTGAGGCCTCCCCCAGAGGAGGGAAATTGCCCCTGCAAAGGAAGCTGCTCAAACTCACTGTGTACAAGGGCCTCCCTGGTCTTTGTCAGGCTTGGTGCTCTGGGCAGTGGGGAAGGGGCTCCCTGGAGAATACTGTGGCTGTCTGGCAGTGCGACCAGACAGACCCAAGTTTCACATCCAATTCCATGAGCCTGGGAAGTGGCTTGATCAGTGGGTAAAGTGCTTACTGCACAAGCATGAGGATCTGAGTTTGGAGTCCCAGCACCCATGTAAAAAACTGGGTGTGGCCATGCGTACTTGTAATCCCAGAGCTGGGGAAGTGGAGTTGGGTGGATCCCTGGGGCTCCCTGGTCAGCCAGCCTAACCTACATGGAACATGGTGAGTTCCAGGTTCAGTGAGAGACCTTGTCTCAATAAACAAGGTAGAGACTGAAAAAGAAAGAGAAATGATGCATCTTTAAGATATAACAAGTGAACTAGGCTTGGAATGTGCTGCTCCCACTCTGGACATGCCTGACAAGTGGAGCTTTCACCATTCAATCACCACTCGAAAGCATCTTCTTGCACCAAATGGAGAATATTACAAAGTTCCATAACTGGTAAAATGCAGAGAATAAGTGACCATGAGATGCCCAGCCCTAAATGATACATCTACAATGCAACCTCTACACCAAAGACTCAGGGACCGTTGTGGAAGAAGGGGCAGAAAGAGTGTAAGAGCCAGAGGCACAAGACACCTGCTGCTAGACAATACATGACAGGGAATCTGCACCAGTGAAATCTCCACAGTATGGAAGTCTAAGGCACTCTGCATAATGACAAAACCAGTTGACATGCCAATTTGGATAGGGAAAATTTCATGTGGTCCAACTTCAAGATGAAGCATTACAGGCAACCAGTGGATGTTGAGGGAGAATCATTTTTCTCCAGGGACTAACTTCCTGGAGGGTTATCTAACACCAAATGGGCAGTCCTAAACACAGGTACACAAAAGCACCACTAAATGGATTCAAGGCATTATGTGTGTGTATTTATAAATGTGTACACATATATGTAATAATAATAATCAAAGAAGAGAATAAGCAATTATGAGGAGAAGGAGAGAATGTGGGAGGAGTTGGACAGGGACTAGGAGGGATGGAAAAATACAAATACAATACTCATGTATGACATTCTCATAAAATAAAAACAAATTTTAAAAAAAAGTAATAAGGTGGAGGGAGTTGATAAGATTGCTCAACAGGTAATGGCACTTGCTGCCAAGCCTACTGATCTGAGTTCTATCCTCATTTTACCAACTGAGCTATTGGACCAACTAAAAGATAAGTAATATTCTTATAAAGATTGGTTGATTGTGTATATATGTGTGAATGCCACTGTATATGTACATGTACATGCATGTATGTGGGTGCTCATGGAAGCCAGAGGAGGACACTGAACATCTTTTATCACTCTCTATTCCTTTGAGGCAGGGTCTCTCCCTGAACCTGGGGCTCACGTTTTCTCAGCTGGGTTGGAAGCCATTAAGCCCTAGTGGTCTTCCTGTTTCCACCCTCACCCCAGCTGCAGTCACAAGTGAACTCAGGATGTCTGGCTTGTTGCAAGGGTGCTGAGATTCAAACTCTGGTCCTCTTGACTGTTCGACAAGCTCTCTTAACCACTAAGCCATTTCTCCAGCTCAAATAAGATTTTATTTTTATTTTATTTTTTGAGACAAGGTCTCCCTACAGCCACAGCTGTCCTGGAACTTGATGAGACCAGGGTGCCCTTCATTTCACAGTCTGATTCTGCCTCCTTTAGTACTGGGACTAAACACATGTAAGCAATATACCCAGCCCAAATAAGACTCTAATGTAATCTTTTTTTTAACTTTAAAAAAAAATTTACTGAGAATTTCATACATGCATACAAGGTTCTTTGATCAAATCCACCCCACTCCCTCCTGTCCAACACTCCCACATCTCCCCCTCACTTTTTTCTGACGACTTTGTGTACTCTTTCTTTTTTTTTAAAAGGGGCTTTTTGCTATTCTAAAATTTCTAATGCAATCTTTAAAAATTCCAACTGAGCACAAAAATCTTATTATCAGCAAAACACCAGTATTTTAAAGGCAGGCAGGTTCTGGACATGCTGAACAACGCAGTTCCCTATGTTCCCTGGTCCTGGCCCTTATATTACTAGCTCTGAGTTTCAACGTGTCCATTACAAGGGACTCCGAGAGTCTCCCTGTGTGTCTACAAGCTGGGGTGAGGATCAGAAGGGGCAATAAATGTGTGGCACATCTGCAAGAGGAAGGTTGTCTGAAGAATGGTGTGACTTATTAAACTAGGCTATAAGGGGAACGTCCTGCCTTGTCAGTTATGCTTAAATCTCCCATTACGCACAAATCACACACTTCCAGGGATAGGGTATAGTCCATTCCTAAGCTCCACTCCAACACTTTTATCTCTAAGAGCACAGATCTGGCTGTTTCTTTCCCAGATGAAGTGCTCAGTTTTTATCTGGGGACTATTGTATCTGGGGAGCATGGTATCCAGGATTGGCCTTCTTTTTTTAGCAGAGCACAGCTAATTGGATTGGAGTGTTGAAATGTGTGTTCTCAGAGGCCCTGGTGGAGTTAAGTTTTCTGATGTTCTCAGAAGTGACAGGAAAGTGGCTCATGCTGTGTTGCTAGACAGAAGGAATGGGGGTGGGCGATCCCAGGCTGGTGTGAGCCCACTCTTGGAATCCTCTGTAGAGCTTGATACTCCGTTGCCTAGCAGATCCCAAATCTGTTAACTAGTGAGCTGCTTGGATGGTAACCAAGAAGATCCTGGGGGTGACCTTACTCCAGCCTGAATTGGGGCAACCGTGCAAATAGCTGTGGCATAAGAATCAAGCCACCCAACTAAAATCCCACAACAAACAAAGCCTGCATTTAAATAAAAAATCAAAAAAGAAACCTGCAACACAAATAACAGTGGACAGTGAACACATTGTGCTATATCTGCATAGTGGAGCATGACTCAGCCATGACAAGAAATAAGCCCCAACAAGGGTAAATTTCCTAATCCATTGTGTTCAGTGAGAGAAGCTGAACCTCAAAGGGGACATGGTGTATGATTTCATTCATAGAAGGTTCCAGAACAACCCAAAATTCATTTTCAGCCTCAGAAATCAGAATCATATTTTTGGTGACAGGAGATAGACTGTGCAAAGGAAGTATCTGGGGTGATAGAAATACTCTGTGTGTTGATCTAACATGTTACTTGCAGAGCACATTGAACTTTGTGCTTGAAATGTGAATTTTAGAGTATGTAAATTATACCTTGAAAGTTAATTAAAATAAAAATTAAAAGGAAGAAATTTTAATTTAAAAATTTTTTTATGTGTATGAATATTTTGCATGCATGTAAATGCACCTGTGCACGCAATGCCTTTGGAGGCCAGAAGAGAGCATCAGATCCCCCTACAACTGGAGTTATGGACAATTGTTGAAACTGGAGGCAATTATACTAAATTAAGCCAGTGTCAGAAAGACAAATACTGGATTGTTTCTCTCTTTTCTGGCTCCTAGATTTTATGTAGATACTTTCAATTGTGAATGTACATATGATGTGAAAGTTGCAGTGAAACTGTCTAGGGAACAAAGTTGACTAATGAGAGGGAAGAGCGAGCACTGGAAGGTGAGCAGCATGGGGGATATACTCAACATACAACATATATTTGTATAAGCTTTTTAAAATACATTTAAAAAAAAAAGAAGAAGAAGAATCAAAGCGGTCTCTGGTAAGACTCTCCCTGCCCTGAGCTGCCAACCATGGCCCACAGAGGCAAGGACAGTATGGTGACTAGTTTTAATTCTTAACTTGATATGACCTAGAGTCACCTTGGAAGAGTCTCAGTGAGGGATTGTCTAGATCAGGTTGGCCTTAGACATGTCTGTGAAGGGTTGTCTTGATTGGTAAATGATGTGGGAAGACATAGCTCATTCCCTGGGCAAAGGATGCTGGACTGTGTAAGAGTAGAGAGGTGGCTGTGAGCACAAGTAGCACGCATGCATGCATCCTCTCTCTGTTCTTGACTGTGGATGTGATGTGACTGATTGCTTCAGGCTTTTGCATTGACTTCCCAGGGATGACAGAATGTACCATTGTAAGCAGAATAAACCCTCTCTCCTTTAGGTTGCTTTTGGTCAGAGTATTTTATCACAGCAACAGAAATGAAACCAGAGCAACCAGGAAGTCAGCTGCTTCCTCCTCTAATTGCAGGGATGCAAATTCTCCTGACCCCACACACCACACTCTGCATTCCTGGAACCCTGGATGTCTTCACGGGTGACCCTAGCCTTTCATTTCACTATGCAGAAAGGGGGTGCAAAAATGCATTCTGGACTGGAAGGTAGGAAAGTCAGACACTGAAGTGTAGTTCTGTGAGTAACACTGCTCCTCAGATCAAGTTGAGGAGATTGCAGTTGTGGGGTGGGAAACGGTGGCCACCAGTCACATGCTCATAGGGTCTTACATTGCCTTATAATTTCAGTGTGTGTGTGTGAGTGTTATGCAAGTGTGTGTAAGTGCATTTGCATGTGTATATGTGTGCATGTACATGTGGAGGTCTGAGGACAACCTCGAGTTTCCTTCTTTAGATGCCATCCACCTTGTTTTCTGAGACAGGGAACTCACCAATAGGCCAGGCTAAACAGCATGCCCCATGGAGCGACCTGTCTCTGCCTCCCCAGAACTGGGATTGCCAGCATGTGCCATCACCCCGTTCTTTCTTTTCTTTCCTTCCTTTTTTCTTTCTTTCTCTCATTTACTTTTCCTTTCTTTATGTGTGTTTGGTATATGTTTGTGTAGTGCATGTATACGAACGTACGCTTATTAGTACACTCAATGAACATGTGTGTGCATGCATGTAGAGACCAGAGGCCAGCACTGTGTGTCTTCCACTATTGTTATGTGCCTTATCTTTTGAAACAGGATCTGTCCCTGAACTTAGAGCTCAGCAGTTGTCTAGACTGGCTCGCTAGTGAGTTCTGGGCATCCAAACTCGGTCCTCATGCTTGCTCAGTACTTAACCAACTGAACCATCTCCCTGGTCCCTGACTTTTTTCTTTTTACATGGGTTCTGGGGATCAAACTCAGGTTAACATTTGCAAGGCAAGTACTCTGCTGACTGAGCCATTTCTCCAGCCCCTGCCTTATCATTTTCAATAACTGTCTTTCCCTGTTGTTCCTCTCATCCACTCCCAGGACACTCCTTCAGCCATCTGTTAATACCTCATTCTTTTGACATCCCATCTCCTTTCTCAGGACCTCTGATCTCTGGTTCTGCTAGTCTTCTGAGGCTCACCGCCCACTTCGTGTCTGGTCTGCTGCCTCATCTGCTTGCATTATGGCAGTTTAAACAGCCTTGACTCCCTTATCCCTCTCTGTCTTCATTGCAGTTGATAAAAACCGCAACCCTAGTTAGACCCGACCTACCAACAACTGAACTTAGTAGGGAAAAAGAAGAAGAGAAAAAGCTAATATGATTGCACAGATGGTCCTGTGGGCTTGTTTTAATAATGTGACATGAACTGCAAATGAGCCTTAAGCCTTTCTGGTAACTGTACAACAGCTTCTTATTCAGCTCACTTTCCTAAGCAACCCTTTCCAACCTGACTTCATTGAATTTCTTGTCTTTACTCTCAGCTGTGCACTGTGCCCTCTTCTGTGTGTGTGTGTGTGTGTGTGTGTGTGTGTGTGTGTGTGTGTGTGTGGTATCTGTGACAGACGATAGCCCTGCGGGGCATTCTTCTGGTGTCGTCCACCTCCTTGTAGACAGGGTTTCTCATTGGCCCAGAAGTCACTGATTAGGCTGGCCAGTGAACCCCAGGGGTCCTCCTGTCACAGCTTCCCCAGTACTGAGATTACAAGCTCACACCACTATGCATAGCTTTTCCATTACATGGATTCTAGGGATCAAACTCAGGTTCATGCTTGCAAGACAAGCCCTTTAGCCACAGAGCTGTCTCCCCAGCCTTTGTGCCCTCCTCTTCATCAGCCTTGACTCTCAGCTGCACGATATGCCCTCCTTTTTACTGGGAAAATTCCAGGTGCTCAGAAGAGAACTTCTCCAGACTCTCACCCCACCAACATGTGTTCCAATGATCTTGCCTACCTTCCTCCACAAACTTTCCAGGCTCCCCCCAGCCCTCAGCATGTGCCCCACATGCCCTCTTCTCTCCCCTACTCAGCTCCTTCTTTCTCCTCCACTTGGGTTTGACAGTCTCTGCTGGACCACTCTCAACCACAGAGCACATGCCCTGGTGTTTGTTTCTTCCATCCTAACACATGGACTTCTGACTCATTTCCCCATAACCTGCCACCAAATTTTTTGCTCCCCTTTCTAGTAAACTTCCTCAAAAGTTATCTATTCCACTCTATTCCATTTCTCTGCTTCTGTGCTGTTGTAGATCAACCACAATGGGATCTTATTACTGTACTAATAAAATGACCTTTGTTGCTATCACCAATGGACTCTTTGCATGGCATTCTGTGATTAAATTCCAGTAGTCATTTTACTTATCAGAGGCATCATGTGCAGTTGATCACTCTTTCCTTTTTTGAAAACACTATTTTGTTGCTGTGTCCATGGAGAGAGGCTGAGGCTGCTCGGCCTGAGACTGCAGAAGAGAGCACTGAGGGCATGTTGGCTTTGTTGGTCTGGACCACCATGCAAGCTGTGAGCAAGAGGAAGCTGCAGCCCACTCAGGCCGCCCTTACCCTGACAACTTCGGCTGTAAACAAAATAAAAGATCTTCTTAAAGGTAAGCCTTAACATTGCTAAGGCTTCTACTTAAGGCTCCATTCATGCTAGACAAGGGTTCTACCTTGGAGGTAGGTGTGAAAGTTGGTGTGTGAACCAGAGGTTGTAATGGCCTTTCTTAGAGGAACACAAAAGGAGATTCTGATGAAGTTATTCAATATGGAGTCAGTGTGTTCATCGAAAAGAAAGCACAGCTAACACTCTTAGGAGTAGAAATGGACTATGTTGAAGAAAAATTATCCAGTGAGTTTGTCTTCAATAACCCAAACATCAAAGGAATGTGTGGCTGTGGCGAAAGCTTTAACATTTGAAACTTCAGGACTCCTGGCTCCAAGCTCCAGGAGAACTGGAAGCTGCTTTGGAGCTTACTGAAGAAATCACGTGACTGTCATGTGCTCCTTATAATGTGTGGCCGCCTCACTGAGAAAAATAAAGTGGTGCATTTTGAAAATTAAAAATATATATTATTTTTATTTTATGCGTATGAGTGTATTGCCTGCATGTAAGTGCACCCATGTCATGAAATGCCTGCAGAGGTCAGAGGGAATGTCGGATTCCCCTGGAACTGGAGTTATGGATGGTTGTTAGTTGCCATGTGGGTGCTGGGAATTGAACCCTGGTCCTCTGTAAGAGCAGCCAGTGCGCTTAAGTGCTAAGCTATCTCTCCAACCCCAAACATGAATTTCTGATCCTCCTGTTTCCACCTCCTGGATGCTGGAACTATAGGCATATATTGTCACATTTGGTTTATATGGTGCAGGGCATGGAACCTGGAAATCTGGCCGCCTAAGGTCTGGGAACTTTCTTGAGGAAGTGAGAGTAGAGCCTGCCATTCTCCTGGAATCTGGAAACCTGGGGTCAGAGATCACGGGCAGACTCTTGACAAGGGACTTGTCATTTCTTCACAGAGGCCGTGGCTGTGAGAAAGAGGCGTGAGCAGCAGTCGCGTCTGGATTCTAACATCTCAAGAGAATAAGGCAGAGAGTGGTAGAGCAGGACACCTGACGTCCTCCTCTGCTTCTGCATGCAGACTCGTGAGCAGGCTTACCTGCACACACTTAAGTATGTAACACGTGGTGGGGAATAGGGTTATGGCTCAGTCAACAAAGTTCTTGCCTTGCAGGCTCAAGGACTTGAGTTTGATCTCAGAACCCACATTTTTTAAAAAAGAGGCTGGACAGAGTAACACAGGCACACATGCCTACATGCATCTCCAGGTTCACTGAGAGACTCTTTTATGCACATACCAGCCCCTACTCCCACACATACAAATATACATACATACTCACACACACATAAACAAGATAAATTTTTAAAATTTGTGAAGCAAAACTTGGCAGATTTGAAGAGAGAAATGGGTCCTTCAGCAACTCTCTTTCAATAACAGGTCATTTAGGCAGGAGGCAAGTGCTCTAGTTTCATTTATGTTGCTGTGATGAAATACCCTGACAGAAAGCAATTTTGGGTGGGGCTGGAGAGATGGCTCAGTGGTGAAGAGCATTGGCTACTCTTGCAGAGGACCAGGGTTCAATTCCCAGCACCCACATGGTGGCTAATAACCATCAGTCACTCCAGTTCCAGGGCATCTGATGCCCTCTTCTGACCTCTGCAGACACTGCATGACACAGGTGCACTTACATACATGTAGGCAATACACATAAAATAAAAACAATAAATATTTTTTAAAAAGTAATTTGGGGGAGAAAGGGTTTATTTTAGCTTGTGATTTCAGGTTACAGTTCTTTATTGTGGGGAAGCCACAGTGGCAGGAGCTTGAGACAGCTGGGCACACCACATTAACAGCTTGAGACAGCTGGGCACACCACATTAACAATCAAGAGCAGAGAGAAATGGTTGCACACATGCTCACTTGCTTGTGCTCAGCTTGGTTTCTCCACTCTTACACAGTTCATGAACCCTGCCTAGGGAATGGTGTCACTCAGAGCAGGGCTGGATCTTCCTATATCCATTATTGGCACAATCTCCCATAGCTGTGTTCACAGGTCAACCTACTGCCTACAATTACTTTATTATGACTCCTCCAAGGTGATTACAGGTTATGTCAAGTTGAGAGTTAAAAACTAACCATCACAGCAAGTAAGGAAATTAGGGATTTGAGGGACACAAGAAACTAATTAGGCCTAACTGATACACATAGAAGCTCTACCCACAATGACAGAATACTCATTCTTTTCAAGAGCATGAAAGGTATTCTTAAGATATGACACTTTCAACCACAAACTCAATCTCAGTAGATTTTACGAGATGAGCAAAAGGAGATGAGTCACAAAATTCACAAATACCTGGAAATTAACTCATTCTTAAACAACTGTGTCAAAGAAAGAAACACAAGGGGAACTAGAAAACATTTAGCGATGAACATAGACCAAAACACAACACATTGAAATTTATACATACTTAGAAATGGTTAGGATTATAACTATGACATTGTATATATTTTGCTACAATGAAATATATATAGGCTAGTGGGATGGCTCAGTTGGTAAAGAGTTTGCTGCACAAACATGAGACTCTGAGTTCAGATCCCCAGAACCTATGTAAAAAAAAGTCAGGTGCTGCAGCACACCCCTGTAATCCCAGCACTGGGAAGATGGAGACAGGAGGATCCCCTGGGTTCGTTGGCCATCCAGTCTTGATGAGCTTAGTGATCTCCAGGTTCACTGAGAGACTCTTTCTCAACAAAGCAAGATGGAAAGTGGTAGAGGACAGCTGACACCTGCCACTGAACTCCATACACATGCACACACACACACACACACACACACACACACACACACACACACACGTGATATTGATCAGTATAGCCTTTTACTACCCCCTGCTGAGTAACAGGATTTCAATGCCAGTTAGGATAGAGGATGGGGATCTGTCTTTCCTATTTCTCTGTCCTCAACCTGTCCGTGCCCCGCTGACCCCATCAAGTCTGGGTTGGAAGAGACACTCCCTTCAAGGAAGAGCAGAGTTCATTCACTAGCTGTTTAGTATCATATGACCCTGGGGATGAATGGAGCGTGCTGAACTCCCAAAACAGAAGTTAGTGGTTGTGAAAGAGAACTCAGGCTGGAGGTCTTGCTTAGGTTGGACATTGCTAATTGGCACTGTGAGGCCTGAGGTCATGCAGACTAGAAGCACAGTGTGTGGAGGAGTTCACCTGTGATCTCATAGAAACACAGTTTTAAATGTCAACTTGCCACAACCTAGAATCACCTGGGAAAAGTCTCAGTCTAGATCAGGTTGATCTGTGGGCATGTCTGTGAAGGATTTTCCTAGTTGGATTCACTGAGGTGGGAAGACTCACCCTGAATGTAGGCAGCACCATTTCATGGACTGGGCCTTCAATTGTGTAAGATTATCTCATTATTTGTGTGTGTGTGTGTGTGTGTGTGTGTGTGTGTGTGTTGATTGTGTAAGATTATCTCATTATTTGTGTGTGTGTGTGTGTGTGTGTGTGAATGAGAGAGAGAGAGAGAGAGAGAGTCCTTGCAGATATTATGCACTTGTGCATTCAGGCTTTGTGGAGGCCAGAAGGTGGCACTGGCTCTCTTGAAACTTGAGTTACAAAGCTGGAGTTACAGGCAGTTGTGAGCCATACACATGGGTACTTGGGACTGAACTCAATTCTTCTGAAAGAGTAGCAAGTGCTCTTGATCCACCAAGAGACCTCATAGTCCTCACTGGACTGTGTAAGAGTAGAGAAAGCTAGCTGAGCAAAGCGAGCAGGCAGCATTGGTGTGTGTGTTCATTCCCTCCGCTCTTGACTGTGGATGTGCTATGACTAGCTGCTTGGGTTCTTGCCTTGACTTCCCCTCAGTGATAGACCTTGACCTGGGATTGCAAGTGAAATAGATAAGCCCTTTCTCTACTAAATTGCTTTTTGTCAGGATGTTTTACCACAGCAAGAGAAGTGAAACTAGGACACCCCAAGAGCACCTGGAGCTCTGAGAGGGAGGACGGCCAGCTAGGTGTGACCAACACATGTATAGCTATGCGGTCAATGTTGCTGTGTATTCTGGCCTCCTTATTCAAAGAGAAATCTGCAGTCACACTGTCTGCATGTTGATTAGAGCAAGGACCTAAGTAGCTTTGAGAGACTCAGGGTTGAGTCTGACTGAAGGGAGATTAGGGTTTACTGGGCTGTTGATCTGAGCTGAGCTCATAGGCAGTTGGGGAAATGCCTGTTCAGGCTTCCAGAAAAGAGATGGAAGACAGGCTACATCCTTGTTTAGGGTGCTAAAGACATTTACAGGTCTGAGGTCTGCCCAGCATCCATCTCCCCTCACAAGACCATCCTGATTCCCCTTATCAGAATTGCCCCTTCTTGGCTAGGGATTTCAAGCTTGCCCAGCAAGCACCAAGTCCTGGGTTCTGTTTCAGCACTGCGTAACTCTTATGTGGTAGTGCATGCATGTATTCCTAGCTCTCTGGAGGTGGAGGCAGGAGGACCAGAAGTTCGTGGTCATCTTTGGTGACATAGTGAGTGTGAGGCTAGTCTTCATGGGCTACATGAAACTCCACCTCAAGGATAGAAGGAAGGGATGAAGAAAGGATGGATATTAATTGCTTCTTCCCTACTGTCAATCAGTCTATCACAGTGCTAATTAAAGAACTATAACTGACCTAGCAAACAGCTGCGTCAATGGCATGATTCCTTCCTGGTAGTAAGTCTTGGACAGAGGGTAACAGCCTAAAAACACTTCAGTGTTACACTAAGCAGGCCATCCTTAAAGCCTGACCTCGGGCCTGCCTGGCTGCCTACCCTCTTTTCTAAGCCCAGTTCTTCTGTCACGTGGAAATCCCCAAAATTGTTGCTATAAACTTCCTTTTGTCAAGTTGACTAGATTTGGTTTGTACTATAAGTAGCTAAAGAACACGCAGTGCCGTTCTGCATGTGGGGCTTCCAGCATGCTGTGAGGACTTGATCACCTCTCAGGTCCACGTGCCTGAGGACTATGGACTTCCCTTGGCTACGAATAAGAAACACTTCCCATCCACAACCCATCAAGTGCCTAGCCAGCCCTAACTTATATCAGGAAGTGAGGGGCTCACAGAGTTCAGAACAGGTATGGTTAACTCCCTAAAGGATCTAATTCAGCAGCTAGAGAGATGGCTCAGTGATTAAAAGTGTGAGAGGATCACAGTTTGGTTCCCAGCACACACTAGTTGGCTCACAACCGCCTGATATTCCAGCTCCAGGGGATCTGATGTCCTCTTCTGGCCTCTGCAGATATGCATCATGAGCACAAACACACTCACACATGCACACATGTATACATAAATATATAATAAAATA